TCTCATTCTCTCTCTCTTCTGAAAGCATCACCACTAAAACCAAGCAGTGATGTGTTGCCTGTTTCATACATCTAGATTGAAAACAGCCTGAATTCTGCTGGTTTTTATCATCTGTTTATTATCGATTATTACTGTCTGTCATGTCCAATCCATTTAAGTAAGAGAGTGGAGTCAGCATGAAGGACTGCTGGGTCTGAAGATGGACAAGTCAACAAAATTAGACATAAGTGTGATTGTCCTTCCATCTCATCACAATCAGTATCTGAAGAGCAGAGGGAGGAAACACAGAGGAAAAGGTGAAGACAGATCATATTATGCACAGATGAGGCTGCAGACTGAAAATGAATTCTCTTCCTGGGCAACCTGTACCTCTGTAATGCTGAAATCACATTCAACAGCCTGTATCAGGTGCCACAGGGGAAAGGTTAATCTGCTGAGGTCCCAGCTGCCGCTCAGTCCTACAGTACATCCGACTGTGTCCTCTGGTGGTGGAACAGAGAGAGGACAGAGGGAGTCTTTGGCTGCAGGGAGTTAGGACAGCTGCCAGCTTTGTCTTCTTGTCTCTTTGTCTTCAGGGATGTCCTTGTTTTGTTTGGTCTGGCCACAAGGCTGAAGGGATGACTAAAACTGCACTGCAATCATTGCTCATGGGTTATGTATGCAATCTCCTGGATGAATTTCACAATGTCTCTGATAAGAATCTGAATATAAAAGGACCAAAGAATGAGAATTGGGAGCGACCCACCCCTCTCCGTGATGAGTGGTTTTGAAGAGCATCAGAAACTGCAGTGTGGAAGAATGAATGAAAGACTAAAGTAAACTGCACATTATTTCAGGAATCGTTTCAGTCACTTTGCTTTTTTAAAATGTCATACCATTTCATCAGTGCAACCACATGTTGCCAGAGAAAGAAGCAGCCATCTCTCCAAACAGCCCTCAAAATAAACCCACCTACTGAGGCCCTAATGATGATGGACAGAGCTGATTTATACAAATCAGTGCCAAGTCTGTGTTCCTTGTTTATCCTCCATATTTTACTGCCACTGTTAAGACTATTATCATTTTGGTTTTAAGTCATGACAAACTTTAAAAGTGTCAAAAATGCATCAGGGTATCAAAAAGTGAATAAGCAGAAAATCCTAGTTTAGTTTGATTAACACGTGTAATTTATAACTAATTAAAAAAAGACCCCAGATCAAATACCTCTATAATAGCACCTACAGCACATCCTCCCCCACGCTGTATTAATTGGCGTCTTATGTTGCTATGTTTTTCTTTGGTCAGCTTTAATCTGTAATTGGATTTGTTCCTACTTGTTTTGTTACCATACTGAGGCTTATTGCATTTGCTCTAGAATGTCTCCACGTGCCTCGGGGATTAATATGTTTTCACCGTAACATTGTCAGTGACAGATGGCCCAGAAAACACATCAATGTGGTTCATTATTCCCTGACTCTAAACTCACATAGAAAACAGTTCGAAATATTTCACTTCTTCCAATTTGTCCTCACAATGGATTTTGCAGATGTCATTAAAGTCGCCACAACAGCAGCTGCTGATGTTAAACTGATTTCAAACAGCAGGGACCGGAAGTGTCACTGTCTGTGATTAGTCTAGACTTTAGTGCTAAAATACTGCAAAGTAAAATATTAGCATAAATAAAAGTGATTTTCCTTTGAACAAAGGTACCCCAGAATAATGGCTGTGTGAAAACGGCCATAGCAAACAAACAAACAAAAATAAGAGTACAACAATAAGAGTAAAACATTTCCATACAAAAATGTTCTTTCACTCTGTTTGCTGTCATTAAGGGTATTAAAATGTTTTTATTTGGTGGGGGGAAAATCCCACATCTATCCCTTGTCATTACAGCTAAACAGTTTACCACAGTCAACTGTTTGAGCTCTAATTTGCTCATTCCTAATCTTGTTCATTCTTCATTTGCTTTTTAGTCCAATTAGTGCCACATTCTCTAAACTCCATGGCAGGTCTCACTACCACCAACCATTCTGCCTTTCCTTTTGTCAATCTGAGCCTCTGACACTCATCTCCACCCACTGCAGTCTGTCTATCGCATTCTTTTGGATGGATGATCCAGGTACCTGCAGCCGTTCACCTTTACATCCTCTGCTCCTCACATCTTTAGCTTCTGACCTCCTGACTTTCACCCATCGTCCACTAAAGTCACCCCCCCCCCACCCCGGTGTTTTCCACCTGCTCTCTTCTCTCCACAGCCCTGACCAACTGTAATAACTATATATCTTTGCAGCTCTCCAGACAATGGTAATGAAACAATGTGTTTTCCCTCTTGTGCAAGAACGACGTATAAAAGACGTGTTCAAAATATTTTATTTGTTTGGCATCTCACATTTTCTAATACCTCCTCAAAACCTAACTGACATCCATCTGTAATGCTGTCATTGATTTAATTTACTCTTACAGCAAAAAACTACAATGCACTCCAATCTGAGGCACTTTCCGTAATATGATCAATACAAATATTACAATTGTAACTCACTAATTATTTAGAAAAGCAGTACTTCATGCACACCCTTTGCGCTGATGCAGTGCATTGTAGAAGGTATACAAATGTCTCTCCGTTGGGTTTAATATCACAAGACTGACTAAAAAAAAAAATAAATCCCTTGAACCAGACATTACAAAGTATATTGCCACAGACCTACAAGAAATAATACTGAAAAGTACCATAATACTGAAAGGGAATACAAAGCTACTTAAATATTTACACAATTCAAGTTCAATTTGTACAAAGTAAAAGTGCATCAAATGTTGACAGACCATCGCTCAAAATAATAATTCTAAGAAAAAGAAATGGATTCTCCTTCACTTCAATGACTTCAATCCTCCTCGCACTGTGAAACAATTACTTCGCTTTTGGCTTGTTTTCATAAATTAAGTCAACTCAACATAGATCAATATACAATAGAGTAATTTTACATACAGGGTGACTCACCCTTGAGGTTTTTAATGTCTTTACAAATGTATTGCAGGCGTTTAATAAATACTTATAAAAAAAAGGCTGAGTCAGAGGAGTGACTGGCTTACATTTGCCTTTAGGACATTTGCCTTTAGGACATTTGCCTTAAGGACATTTGCCTTAAGGACAAGTGGCCTAGTAAATAGACTGGCAGTTCTGACAGTGAGAAAAAGCACCAGAGCTCCAACGTCTGTGAAGGCACAACAGAGAAGGCAGTGGGATACATGACCAGAGAAGGCCCTGATGTGGCGACAGTGCAGGGTGGCTGTGTGAGTATGACAGTGCTGACTGTAAAGGGTCGGGGGGTGGCATTGGTCAAATCCAGTGCACTGAAAAAGCCTTGCTGTCTACACAGTGTCACTGTGGTGTTAGGGGGAGGGGGTGGGAAGGTTGGTCCCTGAGTATTGGAGTCCCCTGTGAAACAGGTGTCTGCTGGAGGAGCCCGTATCCTACGTTACCGTTCTTCAGCCACTTTTCCATTGGCCTCTGGCTCGTCCTCGTCTCTGTGCTTCTGTCTCTGGAAGAAGCCAAGCTGAAAAGAAAAATGACGCAGGAGACAAGACCAGAAACAAAGCGATGAATCGATACCAAAAGCAGGTTCTTAAAAGCAGAAACTCAAAACAAATGTGGCTCATGTGAGTCTCATCACACTTGTAGAGAACATGTTTTCATTGATGATAAAGATAAAAATGTGTTTACCCGATAAAACCTATAAATAAACCGAAATCACTCAACCACTCTTTTGGGTCCGTCTTTGCAGACTTACCTTCCACAGAGCGAGACTCAGCAGAGCTAAGAGGAGAAGTCCTCCCAGTGTACTACCAACGATGATCCACGTAGGGATCCTGTAATCTCCCTCCTTCCTGATCTCCAGGACAATCTGTCACATAAAATAAAATAAAATTCAGTTCATTACGTCTTTTATTATACCCACATTAGTTCACAGTAGAAATATAAATACAATTGAAATTCACTTCCATTACTAATTATTCAGATGGACAGACATCTTTATTCAACTCTCTTTATGTCCTTAATAGTTTAAGAGTCTACATGTGAACCGTATGAGGTCAGAGGAACAAAATTCAATTTAAAATGCCTTTTAGCTCTTAGATGATAGTTTTACAAAGGTATGACAGCAAAAAGAAAAGGAACGAAATACAAGACGGCAGAAAGACCTATTCTGAATGGACAAAATCAGAAGTGAGCAGAGTTTGGAAATAAGCATGAGAGGAAGGTTAAGATGGTTTGACCACGTGCTCAAGGGTAAAGATATAAGATAATAAGATATTCTTAGACAGATTGATGTTGTTATATGAATGTATAAGGGGGAAAAAATCCATAAAGACTTTATGGATGTCGTGACTGCTGGTGTAACAGACAGCAAAGAGTGAGTGAAGCAGAGTGAACCGATAATTGAATCTTGCATGGTGGGAGAAAATGATGGGAGAAAATCAGTAAAGTTGTAGACTAGTCATGAACACATATGGAGATGTTTTACTGTAAGTCAAGAGCAAAAACACTATTTTCCCTAATCCCAAACCGGAGATCGATAACACGTACACAGTAAACACTTAAATCGAATCTCTGTCTGCTATTACAGTGAAGAAGAAAAAGAAATAAACACAATGGCCAACAGATGGCAGCAAAGATTAATGACCAGCTCTAAGCTGTTACATGTTGCGCAGCTGGTCCTTTCGGTCCCTGAGCACCACACAGCACGTGTTCTCCAGCAGCAGCCTCCGCCGCCTGATAATACAATGCCTTAATTATCGAGTGCCAGGATGAATAATGTCAGAACACATTAATGTTGGCACGAAAATAACATAAAAAATTAAATGGTCTCATCTTTGACAAAGTGTTTCATGACACACATTAGACTGTCTTATTTTTTTACTATTTTAAAGACACTCCCTTGAGCTGAATAAACTGTTCTCCACACGTGAATGAGATAAAGCCAAACAGGACGCATCCAACAAATTTATTATGCCTTCATGAGCTCATCTGTGAGCCAGGTCAATCCTGGGACACAGACGGTTTACAAAATGATGGGACGTTGACTCACATGTCTGACAGGCCGCTCTTCATGTAGGAACATGGGGCTGGAGGAGGGGAGCACCACTGATGCACTGGTGACCAGCTCCAGGATTTTAAACTTCAGCTGGTGAGGAAAAACACAACAGCTTTCAGACTTTACAAACACATGACGCAGCTAAGAGACTACAGAGCTGTCATCAACAACGGATCAATCAAAGCAGGACAGTGAGCTGCAGAAGAAATGCATTCAGACATGTATCGGTGTAAATATAAAAAAAGAATATTTATACTCACTGCATGTAAAGTATCTATTCTCAGAGCTCCAATGATTCTAACAGCAATCTCTTTGTGGGAGGCCACATTTACAGAGCACTGGATTGGCAGAATTAAAGTGTTGGATCGGTTCTGCGTGTGGAAAACAGATAAAGCCTTGTGTAAAACTACGACTCTTAAGACGGGAGTCAAACTTTAAAACAGTGTAGATGTTGTTAAATGTACCAGTCGAGAGAAGCGGGTCAGGTCCTCAGGTGACGCTCTGCTCTCGGCCACATGCTGAGGTGGTAAACAGTAGGTACCGTCCCTCTGCAACGACAGGGAAAAATGACATGATCTACACAAAGACAATCGATGACACAGATATAGAATTCAAACTCATTAAAACCTGTTACGAACTGTTATTCGTTTTATTATTTATGTTCTAATAATTAATAAGTGCATCAGTCGTACTGATCAATGATAACACTCACCTGATCAATATGGAAATCAGATATCTGCAGCAGTTGGTTCCCATTCTTTGTCATCTCTGGTACTTCAATGTTCAGCTGCAGATCCTTGACAGGGAAGTAGCCGAGGTTTTGGATCTGAGAGGCAGATAAATGTAAAAAAGAATGAAATATATTTCCAGAAACGTATTAATGAATTGCCGTGCTGTTGCTCCTGGCTCTTACCTGGAAAGTAAAGTTGACAGGAGGTCCAATGACGCCAGGCTCCTCCAGAGACAACTCTGACTTGATTTCATACCGAGTTGGATTTGAATCCCTGTGATTGAATGAAAAAGCACAAAAACAAGACACGGCTGATTATTGAACTCATCTTTAAATATTGGTGTTCACATAAGAACACACACAGCAGTTTAAAGACTTCAGCGACGATCTGTTGAGTCAGGACTGCTGTTGACAAACCTGGTGAAGAGAAGATCTGCCTCGTACTTCAGTGAGTAATAGATATCTCTGAAGTTATCAGCTGTGCTCATTTCCTCCCCGTCACTGTTGACAAAAACATTTAAACAACCTCATCAACGGTGCTACAGTGAGGCACACCAGTGAAAATATTTATCAGTGCAGCGAGTTCTGGTTCCAGCTTGTCAGCTTTTTTAGCTTGTCTGGAACTTGCCACTTGGCTGATATTGTATAATGGAAGTAAGGTCTGTTGTTCTTTCCTGGATGTCAGCTGAGGACAGACCTCTCTCTGAGTTGAGGACACATCCCTGTCCATGTGAGGACACATGTATGCAAGTATTTCGCAGCACAAGGAAAAGGCTTTAAAGTTTATGTTCACACCTGAGAGCCTCCAGGATGACCCTGACGTGGTCCAGGAAGACGGTGCGACTGAACTCAAACTCCAGGCGAAACAGTACCTACGCAGGGGAGAGAGTTTAAAACATAAATTGTCTTTTTTATTGACGTGTGTTACTGTATATTGTTTCATTATACCATTGTTTCTTGGGTGCTTGGCGAGTGTATCACTGTTACGATTTATAGCAAACCATAAAAGCTCTGTCCAATTTTTGACTTCACATATAGCTGTACTATACATAGAGTGTATACTTTATACTTGACAGTAATGACTCTATATCATCCAAGGAGTAAAGGCTGAAATAATCTGAAGTAAAGCTCTGGGGTTAAACTTCAGGTGTTAAAGGACATGTCCAAATGTCCAAATGTTTAGTACGGACAAAATTAAGGTCACAAATGGGCCAGACGAGGAGAGGAGAAAGAAGAGAAGATATGTAAACATTATTTTGACTTAGTAGAAAGCAGACAAGGTTTATGACACTCTATGTTCCCATGAACTCCTGACAGATTTATTCTGTCTAGGGACAGTTTTATTTCTTCCTCCACAGATTGTAAACATATACCATAAACCTGCTTTTTAAATAGCCTTCCTTAAAATTAAGGTAAATTTTGTATTTTATCCTAAAAACTATGTTCTCAGTTAATATTTACTCTCATGAATAGGGCAACTACACGGTACTGACAACTACACAGTAGAGACAACTGAGGGAGCAGATATGGATTATGAGAAAATATTTATTTTATTTATAAACCTACAGAAATAAGTATAACCAGGTTTCAATCAACATCCTGTAGTGACTGTTCCTTCATCCAAACATTTTGGTTGCTACCTTCGCATGTTTAAATACAATACAGCCATGAAAACCTGATGATGAAAGGCTTAAATTACACACACTCAAAAAAAATCAGATTTGAGTTTTTATTGGACTTTCTGTAACCGGTAAGTTGTTTGGATGATGCTGCTGTTTTCATGTTTCAGTTGAACATGGACAAACAAAGAATAAACTATCTTTTTTAGGATGACATGCTCTACCCACACGACTGAGCCAAACTGACCGTCAGTATTTCAACATAACTACTGTCCCGTATCTCTGTATACACCAACAGGAAAGCACTCACTTTCCTGCAGCAGCGCTAAAGTATACAGTACATCAAATGCAACAGGAAAAGTCAAAACAAACTGGTGATATAAAAAAAGATTGCCCTCTGGTCAGAGGTTTGGACCGCTTCGTCACTGGCATTGATGTAACAGTTTCTCTTGTTTAACTCTGTGCCACATTTTTTAAATGGCTCCCAACCAGAAGGGTTCAGCCTCGTGGCTCTGGATGCTGTTCAGGCGGAATAAGTGGTTATGAATCACCCTGGGAGCTTTAAAAGGGAGAGTCGTGTGATGCCGAGATGGTGATCTTTTTGTCGTTGTAGCCATGGAGATGGCTATTGTTTGTAATAATGACAGTCTCAAACTCATCCAATCACCTCCATGACCTCAATCGTGCCGTGTTTGTCAGCAGATCGTCTAAAGACAGACAGATTCTTTTCGGGCCTTAATGGAAAAGAGCGAGCGGATATAATCTGACTGCTCTTAACTGTGAAACTGGATCCACGATCAGTGTCATCCCTATCAAACTTCATTCAAACATCACCCCTTAAAAACACAACAAGAGGTCAGTGCTGTGAGTTTGACTAGACAGTGCAGAGTCTCATAAATATACCTGACATTACAAGCCTGAGGAAAGCTAAGAGAGAGAGAGAGAGAGAGAGAGAGGGCAGAAATGAATGTGAGAATGTGGAACAGATGAGAGCAAAAATAACACATGCCAATGTGGTCTTTTTTCTCTTTCACCTGGTGCACCACGCTGCAGCAGTGTAGAAACAGAAGACAGACTTCTTTGTCTTCTATATTCCCAGCCTGCTCTCTCTGTAACTTTTTAATATACCAAATAATCACCACATGCTAGAGCTACATTCAGGCAACCATGTGATTGATGGTGAGTCGTCTCCGGACGCTGTATGTTATGGCTCACGTCCCAGAAATTCTCGAAACTCTACACTATAGGTTTGAAGTTACAGTAATGTTTTTCTGTCACTGACAGGTCTGTGCTTTTTCCTACCAAATGTTGAAGAGACTGAAGACCTTCTGACCATAGTCTTATAAAATATTGTCTCAGAGCAATCATCAACAATGATGTGACCGTAATGGTGTAGGTACGTTCAGGTACATCAAATACTGTATATTTATTATAAATAGGTTATGGTTGAATGTCACTGGGATACATTTTGAGGAAATAGGACAGTTGGCTTTCACCGGATGAACAGTTAAAAGCACCATTAACTCTTTGGATTTGCCTGCTATCCTTTTTAGGATGGTATTATTATATAATACTTATATACTGTGCATGTCTATTGATAAGGGGGGACAGACAGGTCTGCTGTCCCAGGCCCCAGAACTGGGCCTTAAACAATGGAAAAAAAGTCACAAATTGTCACAAATAAAATCTAGTGCACAAACCTGTAAATAATTGACCTACTGTTCTTCCACTTACTGTTACAATTTGTACAAAAACCTATCAATCAATACAGTGGAACCTTGGTTGTACGAACGGCCTTCAGGAAAGAATTAAGTTCAAAAACCAAGGTTCCACTGTATTTGACTTCAGTAATCATTTGAGCGATGTAATTGTTTGTCTCACCTGACTTTTGGCTCTCATGAACGGAGCGCTGACATTACAGATCTTCTCAGTCCTATGTCTGTACTCATTGTGACACTCAATCTTGGTGTCTGAATTGTCCTGAATCAAAAACAGAAACAAGTCGTTTTACTTCCAGCACCCTTCATGTTAGAAGTCTAGAAAAAACGTCCGTAATTAGAGGGTTGTTATAAGAAAACGTTTTATCTCAGAATATGCATTATGCTGATGACGGTCGACTCTACCTTGACGATCAGGCTGGAGAAACTGAGGTTGGGTGAGTAGGTAATATTCAGGCGAGCTTTGTAGGCGTTCTCTCCCTTGTTCTCCAGTCGGACGTCCACCACCATCCTTCTTCTGTTTCCCTCTAACACCCGCAGAGACCCTTCCGATCCGTGTTCCCCCAGTTGGCGACAGAAAGCACCACGAGACTGTACAGGCTGAGCACAGAACTGACTGGGAAGGTAGGAAAAAAAGAAGAAACATCGACATGAGAAATGATAAGCAGAACATGGACAGATTTGGCTCGGGGAATCCTTTCTTCAATTACTGAATAATTCCATTACTTTGATTACTTCCCTAAAATGTGCTTCATTAAAAGTGTGCAATTATTTTTGGTAACAATGCTGATGTGATGTCTATACTAATATCACAGTGGTAAATCAGTGCAAATTTACCACGGTGGAACAAAAACATAGAAAACATTGAATCAAATCATTCTCCCTGCTGCGACCTTCCTGCAGTAGCTCTGCGCTCCACTAGGTGGGAACCACTGCCAACAAACTAAGTGAATATCACTAAGTTTGTTAAACAATGAAAGAAATGCAGATACACATAGACAGAGCCTCAGTGAGGGCTGCAGGTCGACTGTCGAGCCCTTAACTACATTTATATTTGTGTACTTTTCTGTGTACTTTTCAGATGCATCTTAAGCTACGTTGAATATGTGTGTACCTACTTTCGAGTCATTAGGTCAGTCATACACTGAAGAGCCAGGTCTGGTATGCAGCGGTCGTCTTCATCACAGCCGTTCCAGAAGGGCAGCTAGACGAAGAATAAAGATCAGGTACGGTCAATAAAATGTTCTTTTCATTCACATTCGTACACAGTCTCCCACTAAGGGACAAACCTTTACCTCAGTCTTCACCACAGTCGGCCAGCTCTCGTCTAGTACTGCTCCCTGGTCTGGATCTTGCAGTCCCACTTGAACAGCAAACACTATGGGCCTGGCATTGTCTGTGGTTTCCTAAAATGAGGTTTTAAGCTGGATTTACTCCATCATTGTCAGTAGAGAAGTGTTAAAAATACAGTTATAATCTATGTTAAATTTGTTGTTTGTTTTTTTTTTTTGCATCAAATACATCTACCAAATCATTCTAACATTTTTGCTAAAGTAATGATAATAATAAAAACAAACACTTTTTGCGTATAATTCCTTAATGACAGGTCTCACCATGACATGGAAGAAGATGTGTGCGCAGGTCTCCTCTCCAGGAAGGAGGGTGAGGTTCTGAGGTTGAAGGTTGTTTGGATCATCCAGTATGGCCCGAGGATTGAAACGTCTCTCCGCCACAGAGACATTATATCTGATACCTGTTGGGTTAAATGAACATTCAAATAATTTAATGGTTAAGAAGAAATACATATTTTTGTTTTAAAATGGCCTGGGTAACTATTTTTGATTTTTGTATTAAAAAAAGTCTTTATACAAAAAGTTTGAGAACACTCATTTAAAGAATTAGACTTCTACCACAGACATCACATCATTATTCATTTCTCGCTTCGCGTCATAAACATCAGCCCATCTGCAGCTCATTACCGCCAGGACAAGGACGGGAAAATTAAATAAATGTGTTTTACTGTATGCAAACAAGAAGAGAGAAGACGGGACTCCCTCCCTTCTGGGTCTTCTTTGTTTAGGTTCATCTGGTAGATGTGATAAAGATGTCATGGGTCAAGAGGTTAAATTAGAACACACTCCTAACACACCCTTGTCTCCACTATGTGAAACTTGACCCTGACATGATATCTCTTAAAACAAATTATGAGCGGCTGAGGTTCTGGTCTGTTTGGAGGTGGGCCACACATTTGTTAGACTCAGGTTTCTGGTGGCTGTCGCTGCCACAGAGAAGGGAGAATAAAGGATATAAAGCTGTGGACACAAAGGTAACATTCAATGCCTGGTTAAGAAATGCTGTCCTTAGAACAGATACAGTTCAGTAGTGAGCTCAAATCACCCTGATACCATTGTGATTCAATGTCTTCACTTTTTTTACAGGAAACCACATGCTGACAGAAGCATTTCATCCAGAGCATGAAAGATGTATTTATATTGACACGGCGATGATTCAACCTGTCATGGTATAGTGTCAAAATAACCAGAAGAATATATATATATATATATATATACATATATATCTATCTATATATATAAACCACAATTCAAATATCTTAGCCTTAGTGGGTTCATATATTTTTTTAACTTAACTTTATATTCACAAAAAAACAAGCAAATAATTTCAGCAGGGAATGACAAGAGCAAAATCAGGAAAAGTTAGCAGTGGATTATTTTTACTGGCTCACCAATTTCCTGTGTGGGGAGGATGGCTGTCCTGGCAGTGATGTTGAAACATACTATAGCTGACATACAGGTCACGTCTTTGCCACCTCTCTGACAGTCCTTCACAAAGATGTTGATCTTACTGGGCTCGAACCTTACATTGACGTGTATCCGGATGACACTCTGTGACCTGTGAGGGCATGGAAGTGTTACAGAAGCCAAGCACCGAGCCCTGCTCGTCCCAGGATGCTTATAAAACTCTCCCTTGTCTGACAAAGGTATTTTGGTTTACTGAGGGAAGGACACACCATAGTAGAACAGCTGCTCCAAGGGAACCCACTGCCAGGTCCACTAATCCATCACCGTTCATGTCCATTACACCATGGATGCTGCGCCCAAAGTACTGCAGGCCAGGAGCCAAATCAGCAGCTGCTATTCTCTGATAAACAAAAGGCAGAAAATACAATCAACCAGACGTGAGAACGATGTGATGAATGTCATTGTTACAGCAGCGATTTGAACCATGTGGGTCATGTTTTTGCAAATAACACAAACAATTAGCTGAAGCAGACATTGAATAAACACTTTCCCCGGAACGTTTTATTTTGACTCTCTGTGTTTAACACATACAAAGACAGACAGTTTACTGCCTATGAGATTGGATAACAGAGTCTTCGCTTTCTAATCGATGGTCCTCAGACATACATATCATTCTACTCACAACTGCATCTGTTCATTACTAACTTTTTTCTTTGACTTCTATAGTTAAATGTCACAATCAGCTGCTGTCTGACAAAGTCCTGAAGTAGGCGATTACTGGTTCTAGAAATAGTAATCCAGAAGATTTAGCATTAATCATCCAGTTCCAGTTTCTCTATTTTATTTCATACACAATGGTGTCATCTTTTGAATCATGATCCAACTTAAATAAAAACAAATTCACGACAGGAAACAGTAGCTGTGTTGTGAACTACACATCAAGAATGCCCACTTTGTGGTAGCTTCATTTATAGGTGATGCTAATGAAAAACAGACAGTGCTGATATGTTTAACCTTTACTATAATGATTCCTAGGATTATAATCGTACATATTTTTTCATGGAGAGTTCCAAGAAAAAACTGTTGAGCACTTTCTGTCTCTTTGGGGACAATAAATAGACATATAGTTTTTATAATATCATGTCTGAGGTATAATCTCAAACCACTAATTGTAGGAAAGTTCAGATTCTCATGTTATGATCTGACAGTCAGCTGCATGTTTTAGTTCATTACCTAATTGAAACAACCTTTCTGCTTAGCCTTTTAGCTCTGACGTTGCTGTTTTTTCTATTTTGCATAAACGGGTTTTTGCAGATCATCAAGTGTTTGGTTGAGCATGGCCTTGGCTGTTCCCAGGGGCAGAACCAACAGAATTTGTAACCATTACTGGCTTAAACAATGACGAGAGTGTATTTGACCAAACCACTAGTAACCTAGGAAATAGAAACATGTGGTACCGTATGAAAATACCCGTCATGGTTTGTATTCCTCATACCTGTTTGTACTTGCGGATTATTCGGTTTTGCTGGCAAAAGAAAACATAAATCGCTCCTTTGTGGTCGTCCTCCAGCGGAGCTCCAACCACCAGGTCATTAAAACCATCGCCATTCAGATCAGGGACAGGAGCAAGCGATGAACCGAAGCGAGCATTCTGGCCGCCGTTGTGGATTTCCAACGTGCCTTCATGGACAAAACGGTTCTGAAGGATGAAAGGAAACATAATGAAGCAAAACTTCTGTCATGTTATTAATGGCGGTCTGTTTAAAGGGAATGCGCTAGATGCAAGTGACATCATCTTCATCTGGCTGCCATGAGAATGTGTTGTTCCTCAGACCTGGAGATACACATATCTGAAAGCAGCTGCTTCAGAGTCACAACAACTTTTCATCCTTTTCCAAAGTTGATTCTTTTTTCAAATATCATTATGTCCATATGTTCTATGAGAGCAACACTACTGTGCTAGCCAACTTCAGTGAAATATGTCACTCAAAAGCTAAGGAATCACAGTATCTCTTTCTGAAGACTTTTTGTTTTAGGACTTTTACTTAGCACACACTTTAATACTTAACACGTCTTTTAGATTTTGGAAGAAAACTCTGAATTGTTGGAAAATCTGTAATTGTTATGGACCAAACTTTCATTTTTCACTGACAAACCTAATAGTATTTGTTAAATGACTCATTTTGACTTAAAATGTGCCCCTCTCTATCACACTTGTTCAAAGACAGGATTTTCCTAATTAGTTTCAACGCTCTGTGGCTTCGTCTCTTATGGCGTCAAGGTTCTTTACACAGGCTCAAAGGACACACAATTTCCACAGTACTTTTGATCCTTTAAGAATTTGCATACTGATTTATCCTCCGTCCTTGATTGTTTTCATAGTACTTCTAGATGTAGACAGTGACATCTTGACTTCTTGCTATCAAAAAGTGTTCAAAAACTCCCAGAATTGTGCTTTTGCTATTCATTTTTCTCTGCCTCTGTTTAACCAGTAGGATAAACTAAATGGTAAAAACCCAAAAGTCTCCACTTTGTTCTTTTGCCTCTTTGCTTTAGGTTTTCATTTACTGAACCAAACTACATGTTTTGGTTTTAATTGTATTTTAAATCAACCTTTATTTTAACTACCGTAAAGCTCAATTACTTTATGCCTTTGGCAACAATGGAAAAGCCATTTAGGCTTGAGGTTAAATAAGGACTGAAGAACTGCCCAATTAAATGTTTAGATATCTGGTTGTGTTCTTAATGAGCCTTAAGTGAGGTTAAAAAATAGCTGTGAATTTCAAAGCAGTTTCCATCCTGAAATAGAAAACAATGCAGTCTAAGAGAAACGGAGCCAAGATCACGAGGCCATCAGTAGTCATGCATATCATTGCTCCACTTGGAATCTTGGGTCATAATGGAATTTGGACTCAGCAGACAAAACATGAGATCATTTGTTTTTACAGTTAAATAGATGGGAAGCGCGATGATTCAAGGAAGTAGCTTTAACGTCTCAGCTACCTGATGTGTGTGTGTGTGACACTAGTAGAGATTGATATAGAAACCAGGAATAACACAAACTGCAGTGATGCAATTTTAAACATATGGTTTGTAAGGAGGTCACAGCAGGTCATGACAACTTTTTGTTTTTTGTTTTCACATTCCACCGGGCTAAGAGATATTTATCAAATCATTTTAAGGTTGTAGGTATGTAGTTCCCAGTGTGAACTTAATATGTGGGAACTTCCTACAAATGTCAAACAATGCTTTCTTTAAAAGGCTTTACATTTGTAGAGATGAATACAAATGTTAGAATGACAAGTGACAAAAACTATATCGTAATGTAGGTTTAAAGAAAAATAATGTAAAAGTCTTGTAAACTAATGACTCGTCAGATTTAGGTGTCAGTTCTCTGAGACACTGTCCCTATAACCAGCAGCTTCCCCTCATAAGAATCTGCAGGCACTGTTCATGTTATTACACTACTGTGGGTAATGGCTGTTTTAAAGTCCAGACTTTTACTGCAATCCATCAAATGAGTGAATAGATTTAGAAATAGGAGCTGTGGGAAAATAATTTCAGTTTCAGTAAGTAGACATAAAAAGCAGACATAAAACTATGTCTAGATGTTAACCTGCCAGTCCTGAAGTCACTTTGCAACGATGGGTAAAAAAACAACAGGTTTTCAACAAAACAACAGAATCTTTGTGTTGATGAGTTAAAGAAGTAGCAATCTGTAAACTTTATGCAACAGAACATCTGACTCAACTGCACTGTGACCACTGATCAAACACATGCTGTAGGGTATTGTTGGGAATACAGTGTTTTCAAAGTTTTACTTTTTGGCCTGAGTGGTCAGGGTTCACACGTCAGGCGTCTGTGAGATGGTTTGGTCCAACCAGGTATATAAAGCCTCGCCATTGAATTGAAACCACTGGGCACACTTATTATTCCAATGAGAAGTGAAAACACTGGAAAATGTCCCTTTCTTAAAAGAAGCTCTCTCCTCCAAACGCTTGGCTGGAATTGTTTTGAAGAAGAAAAAAAAAAAGCTCAATAGTTTCCTGTTGAGTTCATTCAGGGCAGCCAATAAAGCCTGTAGCAGAGAGCGGCAAAGTTTTCTTCATTTGATCTCCACATTAAAACCTGACAAGTCCATATGTCAAAACTCCTGCCTTCAGTGTGTTTGTCTCTTTAATGCGGAGTTGAACCGAAGCAGAGGATGGTAGAGTGTGTGTGTGTGTGTGTGTGTGTGTAAATGAACACCCAAAGTGATGTGTGGTACAAATGACTGGAAAAGTCATACAGTTTAAGCAGGTGTTGACCCAGTCCTGGGAGTAGAAGTCTGCAGTTGACTAATTGTTTTTCCACATCAAACCAAATCAAATCGAGGGCTAAAGCAACGACAGCTGACAAAACAGAATGAAAAATCAACATCATAAACATATACAAAAACAAAATGAAAATGAAAACTTCTGTTACAGATGAAAAGGAAAATGTATTTTTCAGACAGAATGTCTAACAGGATCATGCCCCTCAGCAGTCTAACGTACAGGTGCAAGGAGTGACCCACGGCTGGGCACAACTCGAAGCAGATGCTCAGTGGACCTTAAAGCATACAGTCCTTGAATGATAAATGAAGCAACAAAGGATTTGACAGGTGTGTTGTAATGAGTATTTATATAGACCCGTTCACACCTATGGTTCCATATAATGGAAATGCCATCAGAATAAAAAGTTCATCTGTCTGACCCTAAGACACTTTCTGTAACCCTCTTGTTTTGAGTCAAAGGTGCGACAATCTCCCAGGTCTGGCTAACAACAACATGAAGGCCCAACCGTTAACCATGAGTTCATTGTCTCTGTTTGTCGGCGTCTCTACGTACCAGCTCCGTCACTCTGTAGATGTAGACCTTCCCCTTCTCCATGCCTCCACTGAAGTACATCGGCGCTGCTACCAACAGGTTGTCAGTTACCCCGTCTCCATCGAAATCCAAAGCTGCAATTTCACTGCCATAGTAGGAGCCAATCTGAAGTAGACATACATGTACATATAAATATATACTTTATCTCAAATGATCAAAAAGACAATTCAGGCTGTCCAGTTCGTAGCCACTCCTGTTGGCCTTGTTTATTTGCTGATGATTATTGACTTATGAGGTTCAACTCTAAAAGCTAAGACCCAGAGTCTGTCATGAGTAACAGGCCACTGCTTTCGCAGATGGATTAAACACTGAGGCGGATGGAAGATCATCTATTGGTTTTACACATTACAAACATCTGGTCATAAAAGATCCCTTTCAAAAACAGCCAAATCAAATAAAAAGTTTGTTGCAGAAAACATCTGCTGTTCTGGATGGAGCAGGATCACTGCTGATCGCTTTCCAGTGATGAGTCCAGCAGTCGTACACTCTGGAGCTGGACACTTCTGAGAACACATGCCAGATAATCTGATGTTGAAAAAAGAATGCATCAACATGAAGATTATTTGTTATTATTAACTGTTAAATATGAAGTTCACCTCCACATCGGGTCACACACACACAAGAAAAATAAATACTGAACTATTTATGTTACACTTTTTCAAAATGTCTAGGATTACTTCCAAAACATACACTTATCTTGTGTCTGTTTCCATGTGGGGATTATTAATGATTGTAAAAAGTAAAGAAAAATATTAATGGCATTAGTAGAAGAAACGAAACCACAGCTAAATTAACTCAGAGATAAATGTTAGTTCCAGGCTAACAGTTGACAAAATATTCCAATAAAAATAAAGAAAATATGTTTTAAATTAGTTAGCCAAGAAAATAACCTAACAATAGCCTAAAAACAGTAAAAGCAAAACAACCCATAACTGAATACAAGAGAGTGTCCATGTGTTAAATAATACAGTTATAATAGTAGTAGTACAGTGGAGTAATGCTGCTTCAACCTACATCTACTTGAATTAAAGTACACAAGGATGCAGTGTTGAAAGGTTTTTGAACTGATTTAAAACACACCAAATCTATACGTTCTCTACTGTTTCTATTCAGTTGATTAGTTCATTCATGTAATGTTGAAAAATCATTTTTATGATATTTTTCTTTAGCATGCAGTTCAGGTCACACCCAACCGTACCTGCATGCCTTTGAGGGAGTGCAGGATGGTGAGGTTGCCGGAGTTATTCAGAGTGAAAATAATGACTTTGCCGGTGTGGTTGAACCTTGGAGCTCCTGCTACCAGTAGACGGCCATTTTTGGCTGATACCACAGATGTCACCGTATAACCTGTTAACAAAGAAACTGGGTTAACCTCACCTTTGTTAAAAATTAAGATCACATGAAGGAGATTTATTGTCTGACTGTTTCAGTTTTATGAAATCACTTGCTAATTGGTTGGAGATCATTTTTATTTCCAGCTTTGACTGATGAGCTCTTGGATTGTAATAAAAATTCCAGTCACTTTTTTAGCATTATTTCCTTGGATTCTTGAAGTGACAGGTCTGATCCTCTAGGTTGGATTTCATCGCTGTGAACGCAAGGGAAACTGTAAAATGTGGTGAACTGAGGAATTAAGACTCAATGAGCTGTAGTCGGTTAAGTAGAAGTGGCTGCTGTGGTTTCTCACATTTCTTCCCATAGTTCCTTTTTCAGATCTTCCTCCTAAATATTCCACTTACTCTCCATCTACTTCTCCAACATCACCTCTCATCTTCATACCTCTTTTTCCCCGGCTTTAAATTTCTCCGTGCTTGTCCCAAATTATTCTTCCACCTCATATTACGGTTATGTCTAGAATGGTGTCCACTGGCAGCCTGGAGGATAAGCTCTCACACAAACCACTGATGGCAAAAGCAGAGGTCTGTGGTGATAGCTTTAAACTGGGTAGGGTATGGAAAGCACGTGTGAAGCACTGGGTGCAGTGAACAGAGACAAAGATGAGTTGTTGCCTTTTCAGTCTGTGTTAAACCGCAGCAGTAAGGACGATTCCTTCAAACCAAATGATGGTTAGTATCGGCTTAAACTCTCGCTGGTTTTTGCACACTTCTTACCCAGGTAGGCTCCATGATTTTTGAGCTCTTCGGGGAACTCCTGTGCGTACGAGGACTTCGGAGGGATCACCTTTCCCTGACGTGTTTCTTTCAGCACTGCTCCGTTCCAATCATAAGCCCCGACAGCGCCCACTAGAATCCCATCCTGCATGTAAGAAACAACACTTTAGTTACAAAGACACCAAAGTCACACCAGGCTATCTGCTGCTGAATTCATGATACATTTTATCAGCAGCATGTTGCTTTTGAGAATGCCTGTTTAGACATTGACATCATGTCTGGGTTTACAGTACAACTATTCCAAAGTCACCTCAACAACAGTCTGTACAGGACTACATATACAGATGTCCTGTCTGCTGAGGGATGGGCGTCCCTTGATATTTGCAGGACTTTTTAAGGATTTTTTTTTATGACATTGAAGGAAGAGTTAGCGACAAAACAGATCAGATAGGGTGGTCAGGGGAAGTAGCCGTGTCCAAAAATTGCTCTGGACCCAAGAGAGGAAGTACGCGAGAGGATATTGGCAAAGGTGAAAGCCATGTTAGCAGCAGGTATGGAAGGACATATTGAATCTGTTCAGATCAACATGTCATAGCAACAAGCAGTGGAAGTGTTCTCTTCACTTGGTGTAAAGTAGCAATCGCTCTGAACTCATTGAATTAAATTCACTTGAAGAAGAGAACGTTAAAGTGATTGTGGGTTTTCTGTATCAAATATTGGATAAAACTAGTTTTTTTCTCCCCACAGTGGTAACAATACACTGAGGACAAAGTATTTCAAGCTTATTTGTCAATTTTCGAGTTCATTATCCAGGCACCATTTTATCTTTTACTGTTACTGGGTCTATTATTGTCCTAAATTTTCCATTACACAACCACAACACAGCTCCTAAAGCAACCCCAAAATCCGGATCTCATTACTAACGTTAAAGCATGTCAACACAAACTATTTAAAATGTCCCCTTTACTGAAAGTTGAAAAAAAAATCTACTTTTATTGAAATAAAGTCATGGAAAAGCTACAACCATAAGTACTCTCATTACTACACAAAGAAATACAAAACCAATTAATATGACTTTCTACTGTTATCAGTAGACATTCAACATTCATAGTTTGCTGTTTAAAATCACATTTCAATAATCCATATAAACAAGCGAAAGTAGTTTCAGACACAGGAAGGAAGGGATCGGAAGGATTTTCCGTACTTAATGGTTCACCATACTGACATTCAAATTACAGGCTTCCTTTGCTTAATGAGCTAAAGGTTTTTTGTCATGTCATGCATAATATGCCGACAACACATTTTCCAGTTTTTGAGGCAAGGCCTCTTGTAATTCTCTTCCTCAAAGACAGGATTCTGTGCACTTACCACTTTTGCTCCATGTCACTGGGGCAGTTTGCCAATAGTTATATGTATTTGTCCAAACGGTCTCCATGGCAAACAAACAAAAGTCTAAAACCAGTGTCTACTCAAGTTACTGCATGTTCCTGCAAGTATCGTGCTTTGGTTAGAACGTCTGGATTAACCTGGAACTGTTTTCACAGCTTTTACGTCTGCAGTACTGTGCAGACGTTAGGTTTTAGTGTAAGTGCGTATTTCACATTTACTATAAACCCTCAATTTTGCAGCCTTTTTCTTTTTTTTAATTGAGAGCAAATGTAGCGATCCAGAAGCTGATTCACAGCTTTACCTACAGCTGTTAATTGGCTTTTCGTATTGACACCTGAAGGATAGCTGCTAGACTGCCTACAGCAAGGGCTTACTTTGTGCATCACCAACACTGCTAGACCCCTTCAGCAAGGGCAGGGGCATTTTTCTCTGCCATGGGGTGTACGGTGCATTGAAACCTACCACCAATCAGAACTTTACATTTAACCTTATTTTACTCAGGGACTTCAAACATGTAATTGCTAGAAGAAAAAAAACTGGAGTACCCAGTGAGAACCCAAACCATTAAAGTACGAATTGAAACACATTATTTTGTTCAAACCTATTTGAAGCCTGAGATAATACTACTGTCAAGTAATTAGTGGCTGTGATTGGTTTTCCACACTCTCCTGCACACACACAAAGGAATCATGGAGTGTGAGGCACCCACCGAACCATCATGTGACACAGTTCAAAATCACCCACTCTGCATAATTCTTATGGTAATATATATTATGAAGAATCACGTAATTGTTGAGTTTACTATAGTGAGATAATCAATATAATCAATCAATCAATCAATAATTAAAATGATTTCGACAGTAGTTAGAGGAGCAGTGTTTGCAGATGGATAATAAGTTGACATGATGACATAAGCAGCGTTCAGAGTTGGCACACATTCCATTCAGCAAAACCATCTGGGGTTTCAGGTCTGTTTTCTCCCTTGAATCTTCAACATTCTTTCCAATAACTTATCCTCCTCTCAACACATAAGTTGGTGTTGTCAAGCATCCCTGGAATCTGACCTTGACAACCGAGTTTCTGAATTCTGACATTTCACTGTATCTTCTAACATATACCTCAAATATTCCCATTGTGAAGGGAGCTGAAAAGGCCAGCATTCTTCGCAACATTAGATAAAAAAAACAACTGAAGTAAGACTTAGTCTTGGCTTCTAACTAATATGTTTCCCTGGGGAAAAGGAAGTGTCCAATTTTGCATCACTGCATTGCCCAACTGGAAAAAAACAACCTGACTTCCTTGTCAGAGGCTCCTTGATTTAGGATTATCTAAACTTCAGGGGCCCCTCAGCTGGAACTCCCAAAGGCTGCACTCATGCACTGAATGACAGGTCGTGGGGGAGCAGTTATGATGCAATAGAAATTTAGACGATGTGTGTTGTTCTGTGAAGTTATGTGATGGCAAAAGTCAGACTCACCTCAACGTTGTGAGCAGAAAATCCAGCCTGAGACATCTGGAGGCCAAACGCTGTCCCATTCGTACTTGTGCCTATGTAAACACATAAGTCTTAGAGTTATGAGCCACCGTAACAGCAGCGGCAGAGAAACTCCATCTCCCACCTTGACTAGAATTACACAATTACACAATGGCTATAAAAGAAGGTCAAACCTTCTAAACTGAAGATGCGCTCTCCAAGTGCATCCACGATGTCCTTGAGTGCTGCCTCGTCTGTCACGTTAAAGAAATGTTTATCATCTGGGTCACTGGCGATGTATTTGATTTCATTAAGGAAGGCCTCTGGGTTAATGCCTCTGCGGTTGTAGTAGCCCAGCACCTACATGGACACAAATACAGTATGTTTTTTGTGAATTTCCACATCATTTCCTGTTTTATAAACCAATCAACTTGTGAGGTTTTGCCCAAAAGCCAAATTAGCCACTACAGGAAACAGAGTTCACTGTTCTTTGGGCCAGCAGGGGCCCAAATCAGAAACGGACTCTGCAGGATGTCATTAACACTTTGTGTCCAAAACATGAGATAATACTTGGAGCATTCACAGGTGCACTTAAGAGCTTCTGGCTGCCTGTAAACACAGTCCTAAAGCCTAGTTTTAACTGAAGACCATGAGGTCATTGGAATTATTTTTATGGTGTAATAATGCAACAGTAAATTTACTAGACATCAAAAAGCAGAAAAAGGCAAAGTAGTGCAAGCAAACTCACAGCAATAGCATAACGGGTGATTTCATCTTTCTCACTGTCCTCAATGGCTTGCTGCAGGTCTGGACTGTCATGTGATTCTCCGTCCGTTATCACAATCATCACCTTCTTGGCACCACGCCGACCCCCGTGTTTAAAAGCTTCTGAGCTGTAAGAACAAGTTTGATATGTTGAGTGTGAGAAGGAACGTAAGACAAAGAAGAACTTAAAACAACAAGTGAATTGTGTTTTACCGTGCTACATTGATGCCCAGAGCCGTGTTGGTCTCCTCGCCACCGCGCTGGTCGATGCTACGTGCTCTTTTTACCACTTCTTCAACTGACTTGTAGTCACTGAGTTTAAATTCATGCACCACCTTCTCCCCATACTGAACCACACCAACCTGTTCAAACACAATTACAGTAAACGTGAATTATTTCACAAATAAGAAAGCCTTACTTTATTGGAACTTCGTGTTTTCAAACTTTCGTCCACCAATAAAATATTTTTGTTTGTTTTTGTGGTTTTTTTTTTTTTGAAAAAAACAAAAAACCAAGGTAGTTAATTTGTTAATTACCACTAGAGTATCGTGGTTCAAACTTTCAAGGCCAGGACAATAGGTGGTATAGGTGGTGTGTGCAGTGATGCTGCCCTCTGCTTATATTTTCTCATTTTCCTTTTTTTATTCAGTGATCTGGGCAAAGACACTTCAATTAATGTGTGCAACTATAAGCTCTAATATTTACTTTTATATTGTAAAACGGAAAATAAACAATAGATAGATTAGAATAAGAAAGAAAGACAAAATGACAAAGAAAAAGATGAATAGAAAGAAGAAGAAAAACCACTCGGCTCCATGTGAGTCGGGGGGTTTCCTCAGGGAACTCTGGTTTCCTCTCTCACAACAAAGACGTACATTAAAGTTAGTTTAATTGAAGACTAAATAACTGAACACGTGCGGTTGTTTGTAAATGTTGGTCACAAGATAGAAACACGTGCAGCAAAAGAGCTTCATGCAAACCTGTTATTTCATCGCACCTTCGTCTCAGTGAGAGAGGAAACCAAATGAGCTAGCAGATGTCCCCACCATGCTGCTAATTAACACAGAAGCTGTCAGTGATTAAAAAATAGAACTCCACCAATACTGACAGCCACTCCTCTGCATTCAACAATCATCTACCTACAACTTGTATGTATTCATTCCTCACACACCTGTATTTGACCTGGTCCGACATAGAACTTCTGAAGGATGTTGATGAGAAAAGCCTGCACTTCTGTCCAGGGGTAGATGGAGTTTGAGCCATCCAGAACAATGATGATGTCCATGTACGTCTCACATCCTGAAAAAACATTTATGGGTGATTCTAAATCCTGAGAGTATACAGTAGGTACATGTAGAAAACACATCCCCTGCTGGCATTACAAACAGTTCATAAATCTTCATCCAACTGAAAAGACACTCGAAGGCATACTCTGAAAGGCAGGTGCTATCGTTCTGGAGAACTTGAAGCTTGCATTGACTCTGGAGCAGATGCCTGTGCTGTAGTACGAGCTGCCACATTCGTAAGACCAGAGAGGCCCACAGGCCTAAAACAAAAACACAAGTATTTAGAAATACAACATACAACAACCTTTGTGCAGCAAAGAACGGATGGAAGTCTAAAGATATGATCATTTTATGTAATCAAATAATGATTCGCCCCATGGGATCAGGGCTGTCAGTTACGTACTGTCATACAGAAAATAACTGCAGCTTCAAAAGATAACACTTTATATTTACCACAAAGCTGTTGTCTTTTGGATTGGATGCAAGTGTCATTCCCAGCCTCATCTTGTCCTTGCGTTCTGATACGTTGGTCAGAGATATCCTTCCTTGATAGAAAATATATTTCATTCAGATTATATTAGATTATATTAGATGCAAATATGTGGCATATAAATAAAAAAAAAAACAACAACAACAAACAACTACCACTCCTTTACAGACCAAACAAAAGTTCTTCCATCTGTGACTTTGGTTTGTTATTGCTGTCTGCAGAGTCTACATCCACAGATCTAAACGTTTACTTGACAGAGTTTTTGGAGTCTACCTAACCAGCAGAGCACATGTGCTGCCCATATGAAGAAGCGTGTGGTGGGATGAGTGGTGGGACACACATATGGAAATATATATAAACTATAGTAAAACGTGGAATGGTTGGTATGGTCTTCACACTTAAGTCTTCCACATTCCACTAAAGAGTTTACTGACATATGGTCTGATGGCCGGACACATAACGAAACACCAATGCAATGTTGTTTTACAAATGTTTTCCACAGTGGTTCAGTTGTTGATACTCTACCTAAGTTGAGCTTGGAGCAACTGTGTTTGTTAGAGTTCAGTGAACACTTGTAAACGTCTCCTGTCTGGTAGGGTCCGTTCATCTCATACGGAGCGCCCACTAATAACCTGCAGAGAGAGGTAAATTGGACACGTTAGTTTCAGTGTATTGAAATGGCTCATATGTTTAGCTGTTAGCTGATACACACATTGACTGCAAATCAATATTAAGAGCTATCTACATGGATGATAATAACAATAGCAATTGTTAGCATGAGTTAGCCAGACAAAGGAAAAAGAAGAAACTGAATTGTTTTGAGCAGATCTCATTCATAAATAGTTTCTCATAGACACACCCTGCAGTTGGACGGTGGAAATGGAACCTTTTACGATCACAGGGACGATCAAGTTTTTGTTTCGTGACAAAGAAAAACTTCTCCTGAGACAACAATTCGTTAGTTTTGTCCCAACTATGGAAAGTGTTTGTCCTGGGAAATAACTGACTGAATATCAGTGGATCATTATCATCCATCTCCCACCAGATACTCAGAATCCCAGATCAGCTGGAGCCAGTACCAGCAGTCATCAGGTATATACCCAGATATCCAGGGTGATATACCTGTTTATTACCATCCCATTTCTACATAATTATAGATTAACAAATGAACTGGTAACTTTACTTCAAAACAGGCTTGCATTGTAGACATTGTTTTCACATGATATATATTTTACATAAAGTGGGTCCTGCACTCGACTTTAAGTGGGTGTCCTTTTGAAGGTCAGTGTGGTCTTATAAATGTCACTGAAAGATTTAGATGGTGGAGATGATGCAGTTGTTTGGTGCATTACCTTTGGAAATGATCTCTTCAAAGGCTTTGATGGAGCTGTAATTCAAATGTATGTCTGATGTAAAAACTATCTGACCTCTTTAGACCGCTTTAAAAATAAACTTGGCTTTAGTTGTAACACAAGTGGTGTGTGTTTTCCCAAGGTTAACTACTAAGTCACATATCCTCACTTTTTTCTAAACTTTGGAAATAGACTTCAACCTATTTGGCAGGAAACACAATACTTTCAGGCTTTTCTCTGGCACCTGTTTTTTATACTATTTTTGACTGACTTGTCACAGTAGAAGCGCAGGTGTGACTCATAAAACCAATAGCGGCTGATTCTTGTTTAACTGTATCAGTCCCAGGGTCTTGGTGTAGTGCCTGTTGGATCACTATCACACTGACATGTCTCTATTTGGAACAGTTGGATTGAAACACAGACAATATAATCAGCAACATCTGTGTCTGTTTTGTTTTTTCTTCTCTGTGACAAGGAAACCAAATGGGAGAAAACCATTTTGGCATTTTATATGGAGTGCAGTTAAGAACTTGCAGCCTGTAAGTTGTTTGTTTTTCACTTGGTTACCAAAGCTTTTATTCAAGCGCAAAAAGACCCAAAGTGACAAAAGTATCAGTAAAACAGGATTGTTCCATTAAACGACTGCGTCCAAGTGAAATTCACAGAAAGCATCAAGCAGAAGAGCCACCCACAGTTGACTGACACCACAAAGGAAAGACACTTGACACCACTTTATTGCAAAAGCAGATTGCGTTTACCTTTCACTGCACAGACATTTAGGTCCAAAGGTAACAAATAGAGGAAGACACAGTCATTTAAAGGTGGTAAAGGGTTTTACATTTCCTTAAAAAAATAATTCATTTAAAAATAAAAGTTATTTTTACAAATATTATTTTTAGGCTATATTAAGATACTACTGGGAGTTTTAAGGATTGTTAGAACTGAAAATAAAATGCACCAAGAACTGGTACTGATCTAAAAATTGAAAGGACATCTGTTAGTGTCATAGGCCATTTACTTTTCAAATATTGTTAATCACATTAAGCTATAAAACATCTTAATTTACTGCCATTAGGTTGTCTCACTGCTTATTTATTCAAGCATTAGACTCAACATGTCATACATGTGGTGGATAATGCAGTGTTTATGTCATTCACAGCCATGACAGTAATGACTTGGCATAATTCAGCAGCAACCAAGTACAAGGAGGAAACCATGTTCAAACACACACTCGTGTCACATCAAAGTGAAGCTCCACTGTTATTGCTCCTGAAGCCAACATTTAAAGTCTCACAGACTTTGGAAGTCATTTTCCCCACACTGGCTTCAGCAGAGTACAGACTTCCACAGCTATTAATATCATGATCATTAACTCAGTCATTGCTATTCTTTGGCAAGACACTGCAGCATGGGTTCAGGTCAGGATACAGATACTCTAAAGAAAACAGAGGCACAGTTGCCTCAGAATCTCTTCAATTCTAGTAGAACCATTTTAGTGTTCTATAGTTTATTTTGGTTAAATCTATGCTCTACTATCAAATTACTGCAAAGATGCTGATCACACTAAAAAAACTGCACAAACTTTTTTCAAACCTGCTTATGTGGGAAAAAAAGTTTATGGAAGTACAGGTTGGCATTGTAGTGGTGAAGCAGAGAAACCACATCCTTGCCCCATACATGACTGTGCTGCTCTAATGTCATGCTAGCTCATCTCGTTCCAACTCTACCATGTAGCTGTGAAGGCCCTGAACAACACAAATGAAAGAAAAAATGAACATAGTTGGCTACTGTCTTTAGCCTGCCTGTGCAGCTCTTTAGGTGCAAGTGTCCACCAGGACAATGACAGTGGTAACCGTTACACCTGCTAAACATTTGCATGTGTTTATTGCTTTAGTAAGTGTATGGTCATTTTAGTGGAACGATGCTACACACAACAAAACCAAATGTTCAACTAGTTTTGTCATTATCATATTTGCATTACCAAAACTACATAACTCACCTACACGTTTCCAGATGGGCTCATGTGACACAGTCTGAAAGAACTGGAAAAAGTATAAAACCCTCTCATTTGTGGCACAGTGAATACCATAAAGTTTAAATATCTCAAATATTTACATTTTGTCTCTGGATGATTTATGTTTTTTTCTTTCATCGTGTGACAACCCTGTGGGCAACCTGTGGTCAGGTTGACAAACAAAATGCACCATGTTAGGGCATTGAAAATATGAAAAGAGAAGTTTTTTTGACCTGTTAGATCCTCTCCACAAAACATTCCCAAATGTCACTGTAGAACCGCAATAATTCACGACCAATCATCCGATGTTTTGGGTCACACTGGTCTTTAACTGCGGTCTGCTGGTTGGCAGAGGTCTCCTCAAGTCCAACCACTAACACTTTCTACTTCTAGTGTGAAGTACGTTTCCATTGAACAGAAACAATGCAATCCACAAAATATAACTGAGAATAAAGTTTCCCTTTGTCTGAACATAACTTTTAGGAGAGCAGGTTTAGCGTGCTGCGGCCTACAATGAGCTGCTAACGTAGAGAAAGAAAAATCCTTTTTCATTCTTTTTAAAGTTAGACACAAGTTGATAATAGAAATACGTATGACTAGCATTACAACACAATTAAGGGACATTATAACAAATGTCTTTATTGTGTGTGGTAATAAACTTTTAATCCAAGTTCTTCATTTTGCAGCGTTTCCTGGTTCCTAAAAGCATGGCTTTGTTGCTTGTCCAACAACTGGCACTTGTGAAAACACTGGAGACACTGTAACTTAACTGTAACCTGTTTGATCATGGGCCTGGGCCATAAAGTAATATAGTCAGGGGCCACATAAAACCAGCCAAAGTGCCACACTGGGCCCCCGGGCCAGAGTGTGGACATGTCTGGTCCAAATAAAGGGAGCACTATTTAGGACGAGTGTTGAAAAGCAATTCCGACTCCCTGCAGTTCTTTGCGGAGAACACCTCATAGCTGAGGTGAAGAGTGAAGGTCAGGTCTCCTATGACAAGACCTGGTTGAACTGGAGAAAAGTAAACAATGAAAGTATGAATGTGGGAGTACTCTGTAAGCCTGTGTATACCATCAAGACACAAGGTATTTGCTGACTGAAAGTGATGTGGCCTTTCCTCACCTCCTCACCGACTGTCTGCTTAGCTCCCGCTGAGTGTGGAGAGCACCATCGTTTGGTGTGGACACCTGTGGATATTCCACTGTTGACACCTTGACCTTGCCTCAACTGAGCTGGACAAAACCTATCAACAAACCTGACAGAGGGGTCTTAACCTGTTAATTCCCAGATATTTCTTTACATTTCCTTGACAAAAAATAAACTCTACCACAGACAAGGCAAAAAATAAAAATCTTTCTTACTTTTAGTTTTACTCTTACATAATACAAACTCTTGCTTTTTAAATGTCAAGAATCACTTCTCCCTCAGAGAAACTCTTTAAAATTAGCTGCATGTCTGTCTTACATCAGGAACGTGTGGGTCATAAAGTGCATTTCTTTTCATTGCGGATTCACTTTCCAGCTGTGGTTCCGTTTCGGTCCAAACACCGAGCTGAGGGTTTTTAAATCCAACGATTCTGGAAAAGTTGACAAAGCGGCATTTTGGCAAAGGCTGACAGCGTCACTAACCCTTTAAATAGGCAGGAAAGGCTCAGCTGAGGTAAAATAATCTAAAGACGGTGGTTTAAAAGTGATTCACAATTTATATGTAGCTTATATACAGTATGTATCAGATTTTAGAACAGGCACATGTAAACGTGTGCAGTGGTTCACTTCTGTTTTTCCGCTGTGCTCCTCCACCCCCTCAGTTCCCCACACAGCCCGCCTTCTGTCTTGTTCTCCTTGTGTGTGAGCACAGTTCTCACTGTATCCAGTGATTACAACTGGAGTCACAGGTCATCAGAGAACCACCAAACAGTCAGCAAATTTTCCCCTTTGAAGTACTGACACTTGGTGTGCACATGTCCTGCTGCAGAGACGCGGTCCGTCTCTTCAAAGATGGATGTGTTTATTCACTTGAAACAGAAAAACAGCAAATGCTGCTACAATATGCAGAGAAAAAAAAGTCATTCATCAGCACATTCAGTTTTCAGATCATCACCCCGAAATGAAGTCATTTTTTTACGGCTTTGTCTTTCTAAAGGTTGCAGATGGAGCTAAATCAATTCCAGTTAAAGGTTTTAAAAGGGATCACATACTGTAGATCGGATTTACAAACGGAAAAACCATAAAATAAAAATGCCATGTTCTCTCAGGGTAGTCCAGTTCAGTTTTCTTACACAGTCCAAATACATGCAGATTTTGGATTTGGTTGAAATAACACTTTGACTTGACCATTGGTGAAAATGTGAGTATAAATAGTTACATATTTTTTTGTGCCAGCCTGTGATAAACTGGCAAACTGCCCAGGCTCTACCCTGATTCCTGAAACTCCAGCTCTTCCAAGACCCTAACAAGAATGAGGTAGTATAAAATGGATGGATGGATGGAGAGGTCACTATTTACACATCTTTAATGATAGTTTTTCCTTTACATTTTACTGTACCTGACCTCCTCAAGGTTTCTGCAATAGTATTAATCGTAGGTGTTGAAAGGCTAAAATCCATCTGTGATTTCCTTTTTAAAACTGAAAGTCAATTCTCTGTCAAAAGTAGAAAAACCAGACCTAACAACCAAACAGGGAAATTACCACCATGCTTCTTATAGAGGGGCAGACACAATTTCTTATCTTTGTTTAATTAAACAGAATTGTGTTTAAACACAAGTGTTGTTGTGTTGTGTTTAAAAATGTCTTCAACCTATAATGCGAATTGTCCTTGTCCGTGTTTTGTACCATGTGTTTTGTATTGTACTGTATGTAATTGTTAATAATTAAAATTTGAATATTGAAGGCTTTTCTTTTATACTAAAATATGATCTTTTCCCATTAGGCTCACATGCTCTCACATTCCTTGGTACAGCTGAGACGTGTCAGACTGTGTACTGTACACACTCCCACAAACCCATACAAATACACAGACAGTGTTGTGAGAGTCTGTGCACACAGCTGTGTGTCTGTCCACCCACTGAACTGTAGTTATCACGATGAGTCAGTTCAGAGGACAGACACATACCAACACAATCTGGGTGGGACATGTACAAACACATGCATACGGGGGTGGGGGGGTGGTGGGTAGGGGTACTCCACTCATGTGTAGTAATATGAATGTTTAAGTAAATATTTTAATTGTTGTTTGTCCACAGGCATCTTCTAAGGTTGGGTTTAGATGATGTGAGAAGGGGTGGCTCTTCCATTACAGTATGTGACTAATGCACTGCCAGTGAACTCTATAAAAGTGACAAATTATAGTTCCCATAGAGCCGTAAGCAGAGTTTTATTAACACAGTCACCTGATTCTCTGGTGACCTGCACAACCAGTGGTCTAGAACATATTTTTTCTACTGTTATAAAGTAAATATTTAGCTGAAGATGGCTCTGGACCTTACATTTCTGCAGTGAATCTATTTGGCCGACGACAAACCCCCTTGTTATCTGCTCCTTAAACAGTCCAAGAAGAATGCGTTAGCTGCTAGAAAGGCCAATTTACACTCCATAATACACAACGTTAGACCCAAGCATTTCTATAGATTGTCAAAAAAAACAAAACCTTTGTGTTTCTGCTGCAGAAACATTAAAATGCTGCACAGTGGAACCCCTCCACACGGGTTTAATCCAATCCACAACAGCACTCGTGTCTCGATCCACTCGTATCTAGATCAGTTTTTCCCCATATACAGTATATATTGATAATATAAAATAATAATAATTAAGAAAACATTTTATATTATTGTGTAGAATGGGTGAAATAACCAAGCTAGAACTTTCTTTAAAAAAAGTCACTCATATGGTTGAAAAAATGGTCTGTAAAATAAAAATGATATATGAAGATATATAATGAGATATGAAGTCAGGAGTTCAGTTCCACAGCAGGTAGAAGACAATCGGTTTTTGTTACTGCTACGGAAACTCATCTTGATTTTATTGACTATGGGGGTAGAGTTGTGTTACTGCCAAGTACAATATTCTGTTATATGACCTTAAATGAATTCTTCTTCTACCTCAAGTCAATCTTTTACATACGTACACATCACAGTCTGTTGTTTGAAGAGGTAAATGGGTAAATCAATAGCAGAACAATAAAGACAAAACTGTGAATGCAGTGAAGGGAAATAACTGACTGTTGGATTATGTGATCGAGAAAAATAGTTTAGACAAACTCTCATGGTTGGTTTATTTCAACACACTGTGATTATCCGTTAACAACCTAATTATCCCAGTAAAGCTAAACATACAGTACATCCTTCCAGAGTACTTCCATGGTACTACAACACTGAGCGTTAAATGGCCCACATTTAAGAGACACATTTGTTATCACTTCCTTTTTTTTACTATTCTAGAATGAACTGTGCAGATTCTCACCAACATTATAGCAGCAACATTTAACTTGGGAGCAGCTGATGACACGATTAAATATAACCAATAGACTCAACTGTACTATTTTAACAAGGTCATGCTTTATGATCACCTACAGCTGCTGGGATTTGGCCTGTGTAGATCCTGTCTGTAGATCCTGTCTGTAGATCCTGTCTGTAGATCCTGCAGCCCCTGTGTGCTGCAGACCAATAATTTGACACACAGCTAGTGTTTCAGTCCCTAATGGATAATGTTTTAAATGAACAACTTATTGTTTTGTAACATATTTTATACAGAGTGGCTGTGCAGATGGATGTCATGTTTCATCTGAATGTGGAACCCAGCAACCGTCATCTCCAGTTCTGTGCACAACAACAAGAAATTGTTTACCAGGAACTTATAAAGAAAGGCTGTCTTTAAAGTTTAAAGCACCAGCGTGCCGTCGTGTTGGATGGGACCAAAAAATATAGATGTGTAATTGAAATATACCGAGACAGAGCTAATGGTTTAAACACAGACATGCACGCCACACAGAAGCACAGCTGGAACTCCGCATCGTCCGAATACAGTGCTCGCAACCAGACATTTTGAAGATGCCAGAATCTAATTTTGGCCGCAGCCCACTGCCAGTTGGCGTAATAACAGTGTGCGTCAGGAAACGGATTGTGCTATGAGGTAATATGATGAATGTGAGGTATCCAGCTCAGGACAGCAGTTTATTTCGCATGCACAAATTAAGGGGAGGAAACCCAGCGCACTACAGCCGAGGTACAATGCATCACTATCTGAACGACTGGAAACATTCTTTTCCTTCACTGCCAAGTCAGGCAGTTAGTCAGCACTTGATCGTGTCAACATGTGTTTTACAGTTAAGTAGAAGTTGCTCACTCAGGTAACTCCTGTCATGTTGATGGAAACTTGAATATTATTGGACATGAAATAAGTCAATCTTACCACTTTTCCCCTCCGGCGGCTACATGTTGTTGAACAGTATATCCAAACTGGGCTTGTTTTGGACCTTTGATGATCCTGTGTTTCTTTGTGTCGATATTGAAGCAGTCATTGAACCCTGGAAGAAACAGCACAGAACGACATCTTTTGGATGAAAAACCTCAAATCTTCAAAACCATATTAGATGCCATCAAGCTGTAAAAGGACATAATCATTAAATCACAGCATTAGTGCTCTGTAGCACTGGTCATAATTTTGGAAAGACATAGTTAAACTAAAATAACACTCTACAAATGAATGCACCGAAGATTTATCTAACCTCTTTGGACAAAGTGTAAGAAAAAAAAACAACAAGTGGTTTTATATGTGAAGATGCTCATGACCAAGTTTCCTCAGTGGGCTTAGACAGAATTATCTGACTTTTAAATTTCCACAGTACTGTCAGCGGATACAGAGATGTGATTTTCCTTTAGGCAGAGAAAGAAGAAGTAATAAGCCACCAGACTTCATCACTTAATTCTTCTTTACTCCATTTGTTCATCCATCTTTTTCTTAATCTCTGCTGATCTCAGTTGCCAATTTCCCGACCAGTTATAAGTATGTTGGTTGACGGATTAATATCCTGGCTACAAGAATTAAACAACAATCTTTACACACGAGCTCAGCGGTCCTTTGAGTGTAAATATTAACTTGCCAATAAGTAAGAGAACGACTTTTTTTTTAGATCTATTATTTGTCTTCTCCCATTAGGTTAGAGTTGTAAAGTTTTTTTCTAGGCAAGGTCAAATTTACCTTATAGGTCAACTCATTCCTCTGAGATACCTATAATTAAACTCCATGAAAACTTGTTTCATTTTAACAATTCTTTCATTCTACTAAATAATAAATTGCAAAATGTACTTTGACTGGTATAACAGAAGTGCTTTTATTCATCACCATTACAGAACACTAGACTCTAAGTCTGTTTTTTTCACTGTCTTTTAACCATCAACAGGGAATTATGCAATTGCTACCCCGTTCCTCAAGAGACAAATTAAAACAAGGACTTGTCTAATTTATTAGTTTTTTCTGATTGTCCTAGAGAGCCATAAACAATGTACATTCAACTCAGGGGCCATTTGGCTTGCTCATAGGTTTGATTTGCCCCCAGGCTAGATGTTGGGAAAGACAGGCATTTGATTAAATTCTGTACAACGACGCGTTTGTTGCTTTGAAACCCTGTCTTCTTTTCTTTTTTTCTGAACAACTTAAAATTACATATGAATACAAGGATCACCTCTGCAATGTGAATAGCTACAAGGGCAGATATTGATAATGTACACAAAAGCAATAAGGTCAAATGCCTGCAGAAATGTGAAGTGCATTAATTGTTCAAAAAACATGAATCGTTTTAATTGACACACCTTGATTGGCACAATCTGAGATCATTATGAAATTCACCACAAAAATAAACAGTTGTCTCTGCCATGTACGGGGTTGATGTAAATATTGTGAAATGACTTACATATAAACAGATGGGTTTTTATTTGATAAATAGAAAATGTTCATAAAAATGCAGAATGATTTCCAGTTAACAGGAAAGCTGTAAACAGTTCTGTGTAAAAGCAGCATCGACCAGTCAGAAAAAGGTTTGGGTCACAGCACGTTGCATTTGGCTGAACCTAAAAGATAACATTTAGACAGCAAAGGATTTTGACCTTCCACTTTTTATTAAAAGTTTATAAAAATATTATTCAAGTGTTCAGTACAAATACTTATGTTTACAAATCTAGGAACCACTATTGAGGGAGGACTATTATGGAAGACGATTAGGAGGAGATGAATGGACTTTTCAACCGAATAAACCCAGTTGTCATTCAGTGACGCCATACTAAAACCCAGTTGTCATTCAGTGACGCCATATATAATTGCCATATATTATATATTATATATATAATATATAATATAGCCCACCAGATCTGTTTCTCTGAACATGTTTGGCACTTGGGTTATCAGGTGAGTGTCCACCATTGGACAGTCTGTCACAGTGCCTCATATAGAGACAAACCACCATTCACACCATGGTCAATGAGTGTCCATATAACTCAATTCCCAATCTTTGGATTTTCTAAATTTTACACTTTGAGAGGAGAGGAAACCAGAAACCAGTGAACTGATGATCTTCTTGCTGTAAGACAAGCACACCAACCACTTCTACCATGTGACCTCACTTCATGATTGTCTTTTATGTATAATTTCCCAGCATAAATAAAAGTTTAAGTACATTACCAGATTAGATATAAAAGATAAAAAAAATATTTATACAATAGCAAAATAGAGGGAAATAAATGTAACATTATAATGCGTTTTTCTTGCCATGCAACCAAATGGACCTCACAACTGTCCTGGTACAACAGTATTTCAATGGCATGATTTCTAACAAACACTGAAAATAAACATCCTTAGATGTGATCATAGAAAGGCTGAAGTTGAATCAAGACATTACTGTAGGAAAGGCTACGACAATGGAAACTGTTGGTGTAAAAGCATGAGAATGGAGGTGATCCAGTTTCCATTTCAAGCTACTAATGTGGCATGGCAACTTAATATTCCTGGTAATATCAGCAGCCTCTAACGCAATAGAGCATTCTTGCTGATTTTCCCGTGTACCGGCGTCCGTGCCCAGATAAATAAACCTTGAGTCGGTGGCTGCTGGTGCGACCCACATTAGCCCGTGGTTGCGCTTGGCTCCACACCAAGCTGCAGGAGCTTCACCACAAGAGAACTGACAGAGTCCAGCCATGTGGGTGCATTGTGCAAACTGGTGGCTTGGAAACATCCTTAGATATGACGGTAATGTTTTTAGATTTTTTTTTCTTACAAGTAATGCATCTAAGGTTATTGAAACATACCATACTTTTTTAAAGAAATGTTCTCTCGGTTGTGTTCATAAAATGAAGATGTGATGATAAAGACAGAGGATTACTGTACGTCTGTGTCCAACAGCTGTTTAATCAACAGTGGCAGCAGAGTTAAAGAAATGTCTTTAAGAAGGTTTGTCCGTTGATTTATCCTGAATTTTCCAACAGAAGTGGTTTTCTTCATAGTTGGCTATAGATAATGACATATTTTTTGTACTTTTTATTACACTAACCCAACGCCAGAGTAAATGCTCAAATAGGCATGGGGGTCTGAAAACCAGATGTTTCAATGTAAACAACAGCCATCTGCACAGTAAGCACCCACATGTCTATGACACTCTAGACGTACACATGAACAATTGAATAACCAGTGACAATAGGTTGTCTTTTATTTAATTTGTGCTAATGAAGAAAAAGGTGCAACATTACCCCCACCTTTGATCCCCAAAATGAGATTTCCTGAAAGCATTGAACTGTCTTGTCTTTTGCAGCACAAATGAGTTACATCTTTTTAGATGGAGACAACTTTAAGCCCAGAAGGAGGATGAGCAGCGTATTTAACATCAATCTGGAGCTTAAGGTCATTTCACTAAAAAGAAATGGAGCATACTAGGTGAAGAGTGCTCTTGAGGATGCATGGAAATTAATGTAGGTCTTATAATAGTTCCTTTACACTCAGAGAACTCCTGCAGTTGTAAATTCACTCATTCAATTCATTCTTCACACAGTTATGTTGATCGAATCATCTTTTTAAAAGTCTTAACATTTCACTCAAACAGCTTCAAGATCAGATCAAAAATGTAACCTCCCCCTGAAGTTCCTGCCAAAACATCTACCACCACAGCCAGAATGAAGTCTTCTACCCGCAGACTCCAGCTACAAGGTCAGTGTCTCCCTCACTGTGGCATCAGTCCAAAGCTTAGTTCCAACAAATTCCAAATACAAACCAAATATTTACAAAAGTGATTTCCTCTCCCACACTCCCTAGTTTTGTAATATTTAATAAATTAGAACAGAGATTAATACTTTTTTTAATTGCTTTCTAATGACCCTTTGTTTGGGTTTGGGTTTATCAGGACCAAAACAAATGTATTTATGATGGGAAATAATTTTGGATCCCTGAACAGTCTGGCCTAAGTTTTGGCCGGCTCTCTTTCACATCCATTTTTAAATGTGCAACTGTCAAAGTGATTTCACTGATTTCATTGCACACAATTCTGGCTCAACATCAATTACCCTCCTGTCAATGGAAACTTGTGGCAGAGAAGATAACGTCAACATCCATCCAATGATCAAACCTGCTTCCAGTTGTTCACACAGCACCTCTGTGCTCCGTAATGATTCACAATACCCTTCAGGTTACACATGTAGTTTTGCTTTCTCTAACTGTCAAACCAAATTAGTGTCCAATTTTATATTAAATAACTTACTATTAAAGTCAAAGTTATTTTCAAAAATCATCTGCATTGTTTTATGTCGCGACCTTAAATAAAGTGAAGCTTTTTTTTGCCAAATTCTCTCTCTCTCTCTCTCTCTCACACACACACACCTACACATAATAACAAAGTTGCATAAACACCTTTCACTCACCTAAGAACTGGCTGCAGATCCAGAGAAGGAGGAAGCAAGAGTACTCCATATGTTTGCTGCTGGAAGTGTGCGTCTGAGTGAGAGAATGTGTGTGTGTGTGTGTGTGTGTGTGGACGCTGTAAGTGTGGATGTGTCTTGTGTTGAGGTGCAGAGACCCAGTGGCAGGCACAGTTAAAGATCCCACTCTGATTGACTTAAAGTCTAAGTCAGAGTAAAGTG